TTTCTTTTTTTTTTCGAACTTTAAATGGCATCAGGCAGAAGTGGGTTGGATTTTGAAAAATATGAATTATGACAAAAAAAAAATCCTTATTTATGGACTGCTGTTTATGTGCCAGTGCAATCTTGGAACTACTCTTGGTCCAAAAAAAAACAAAAAAAAAAACTGTAAAATTGCTTACCAGAAACGTTACACACCAGCATGAGACAAATGATCCTCTTACCACACCTACTGACTACTTAAAGACAACATGAAATTGACCCTGTTGAATTTTTTGTCATTAACATTTAATGTCCCTAGTGTTGAGCATGATTATTTGCTGCATGTCTTGATGAAATATCACAAGTCTTCAAATTAATGTTATGCTCTGCTGATTAAACCTGGAATGAAATATTTCATACTATTTTTAGGAGCTGAGCAGGTTTATGTATGCATATCTGAAAGATGAATATTGCTGTACCGCTGCTGAAAACATGATTGTCTGAGATGTGTTGGCAGAAGCTTGATAGATATTGTAGAGCACCAAATCCGCAGTGGTGGATAAAATACTTGACACTTAAGTAAAAGTATAGATATCTAAAAAAAAAAAAAAAAAAAGGCTGTTTAAAAAAAATCTGTTTCTGCAATGACTTTTGCAGGCCATGTGTTCAATAACTTATAATACTGATTAATAATATCATGTCCTAATTATGATATTATAAATTTATTTCTTCTCCTACCTACCACTTTCCTGATAAAATCAAGTAACAGTATGCTGTTAAATGCGTCACATTATGAATGTTAAATGTGTGTTGAATACAGTTCTGTTGTCTTTGAGATACCATGTGAAAAAATATTCTATTCTATTCTATTCTATTCTATTCTATTCTATTCTATTCCCCACCCTACAAAGATACAGTTGTATTCAGCATGTCAAAGTTTGTCAAAAACAGTGGTATCAAAATATAATTCCTTCATGACAAACTAACAACTATCAACTGCTTATGAACCTGAATTTTCTGCTTTAACTTGAATGATCCGCTTCTGTCACGCTCTCAGCCCTGCTGCCCATATACAGTTGGGCTTCCCTGTGCTCATGTAAATTGACTGACAGGCAGAAAGCACCTCAAAGTTGTCTGATTGGTGAATGTGAACGAATCTAAATGTGGTATAGATATTTTATATTCCATAAAAAATATATATATATTACACGCTGCACCTTTAATGCAAATGAAGCTTTCTGTTTGCGAATATATTTGAGTCACAATTCATTTGTCAGAAGCGTTGTTACTATCTGAGAACATTTGCCTCTGCAGCGGTAACATCTGAGGCACTTTCAGACTGCCCTTTTGAAAAGTTTAAAGCTTCTCTGATACTGTCGAGTCCCATTATGTCACGTCGGTTTATTGTTAGAAGCATTACCTTATACTTAGTCATAGCCCCTGTGTTTTGTGGGTCATGTTCTCTTTGCGTCACACCATAGTCAGTGAGAAATCAAAAAAAAAAAAGAGAGACAAAACTCTTAAGCACACATGGCTCAGTGGGGGCTTTGTTTCTCATCTCTTAAGAGTTCCTCTCTACGTGGTAGGTGTGCTTGTTGTGGAACACACTCTGGCTGTTTATTCTCCACTGAACCAAGTGGCACTATGATAAGATTCTGCCTCTGTAATTTTGCAAGGTCACATTTCCTTGGTGAAGATGTCTGGTTGGTTGATTCGTGCCCAATCGTTTCTTTCCTAACTGATGGTCTGAGCCTTCTTGCTTGATGAAATATCACAAGTCTTCAAATTAATGTTATGCTCTGCTGATTAAACCTGGAATGAAATATTTCATACTATTTTTAGGAGCTGAGCAGGTTTATGTATGCATATCTGAAAGATGAATATTGCTGTACCGCTGCTGAAAACATGATTGTCTGAGATGTGTTGGCAGAAGCTTGATATATATTGTAGAGCACCAAATCAGCAGTGGTGGATAAAGTACTTGACACTTAAGTAAAAGTATAGATATCTTACCAGAAAATGACTTTGATAGAAGTTAAGTCACCTTTTAGAATATTACTTGAGTAACATTTTTAAAGTATGTGATATTTATTGTACTTAAGTATGAAATGTATTTTTTTATATTAAACTTAGAGTAATGGTCCGTTGTTAACAAGTAACTATGCGGGAAGTAATAGATAGTACTACATTAACACTTAACTTAATACTATTAACTAATAGAGAACTTCCTGCATAGTTACCATAGACCATTATTCTAAAGTGTTACCACTTAAGTATTGAAAGTAAAAGTACAAGTAAATTCAAAATGGAAAAGTAGCAAATAAATATAAAAAAATTGTTCTATACACAGTTTGAGCAGCAAGATTGTGTTCAGATTTAACTCGTTCTTCCATTTTGTATCTTTGGGTTAACATAAGAGCCCTTTATCTTGTACGGAGACATATCATCATTCCAACATAAGAAAACTAATAGTATTAAGTTAAGTGTTAATGTAGTACTACCTATTACTTCCTGCATAGTTACCATAGACCATTATTCTAAAGTGTTACCACTTAAGTATTGAAAGTAAAAGTACAAGTAAATTCAAAATGGAAAAGTAGCAAATAAATATAAAATCATTCCAACATAAGAAAACAGTTTTTGCAAATATGGAATCTGTATCTGAAGTGGCATTTTACACAGACGGTTTAATGCAGCTCAGAGGTTAAATTAATGCATTTAGCCAGCAGTTACAAATGCATAAATAATGTTGAATATTGATATTTGAAAAGATTTAAAACATGAAAAGATACTTGAAAAGTGAAATTAAAGGCGCCACTTGTCACAACCGGGACAAAGAGGCAGACAGGTAGGTAAACGTAAGTTAGCGAGTTTAATAAAAGGAACTTAGGAGAGGCTTCCAACAGAAAAGAGTTCAACCTAGGGAGTAATGGAAGCAAAACGGCATTTTACACAGACGGTTTAATGCAGCTCAGAGGTTAAATTAATGCATTTAGCCAGCAGTTACAAATGCATAAATAATGTTGAATATTGATATTTGAAAAGATTTAAAACATGAAAAGATACTTGAAAAGTGAAATTAAAGCCGCCACTGTTAATGAGCGAGTCATTGAGATTAAATCGATTCATTCAAAAGGTTGATTTATACAGGAATGAAACATTTGACTGTTTTAATGAGTGAGTCACTGAATCATTCATTCAAAAACTGATTAATTCAATAAGGAAACACCGTCTAAAATGTAAGTAGCCTAACTTAATACTAACTTTATTAAACTTGTATAAAATAAATATTACATTTGTTACCATGCTGATATCTGAAGAAAAAAATGTCACTCTTAGTGTGATATAGATGAACTATATTAAATGATATAAACATAAAAGACATACAGAGGCATTTTGCCTCTTATCTTGAATGTTATGGGCTTTCTAAATGCATTTTAATCGACACAGTGTATGCGTGCACTCTCTGGGTGTGTTTTTGTTTGGTTTTTGTAATATACTCGATAATGAAATATCCAATGGAATATTAATTTTTTCACATAACGTAAGAGTGCAGTTATTACAGTATGCTTAGTTATTACATTATGAGTTGCTACATAATTTGTATTTTAAAATGTATTTAAATAGAAAACAGTATGAGAAATACAGCCTTGTTGAGCATAAGACACTTCTTCCAAAAACTTAATCTTATCAACCCCAAACTTTTGAATGGTAGTGTATATTGTGTATATAACTAATAATCATTCTGTATACGACATGTTTGAGGGAGTAAATTAACCTGTTATCAAAGTGTGTCAGTTTACTGATGTTCATTCACTATTTAGCTTCAGCTCAAGCAGATCAGTCTCTGACAGACTATGATTTGGAATATTTGAAACAATCATACTCTTTCTAGATGTTTTGTGATTGTTCTTGCTGTCATTTATTTAGTCATTTTTATCAAGATGTTTACATGACAGTCATTTAATTAGCACCATGATTTAACAGTAATTTTGTTGACTAGATTAAAACTGCCTGAGACTTCAGCATTTTCCGCCATGCTCAGTCTAGCTGTTTTGAACACGTCTTATGTTAACACTCTGCCTTAAGAATCGTGTCCAATTGGGGTCAGACTAACTCAAAACTAGGCTAATTATACAGAGCTTCCTTTTACATCACACAGGCAACCCACCAACTATTCGAGTTTGAAAACGTAGTATTGCACATCCCCAAAAAATTAACAGGTGGTGTGGGCTGCACATGACGCCAGAAAAAAACTAACAATCTGTCCATGAAAGTGATGATTTTTAACGACCTAAAATAACGAAGATGAGATATTTTGACAAGCTTCCTCAGTCACCTATTTTCTTAATGACTGTATTTTGAAACTCTACCTCGTTCATCAAAGCTTTCACATCTTACAGTGGCGTTCGCAAATCAAACCGTTATTTAACAGTGCGGCTGTGTTTTATTTCAGATTATTCCTGACAGCCCGTTTTCAGTTCATTTAATTGCGCGCTCGTGGTTTAATTTCAGGACGGCAAGCTTTACATGCATAAATGACCTTCACGATTAGCTGATGCACACGGTGCTGGAGGAGATTACACTCATTTATCCGTATGACATCACTCACCTCTGTGGTTTATGTCTACGGGAAGCGCGAATAAGGAAGCATGTATAGTCCAGTGAGATTTTCTCATGTCAAAGACATGTACAATGATTCATGCTTGCAGCTGTCTTGTACTGTTAATTTCTGATTTGTTTATGCTTCATTTGAACCAGTGGCCTTAAACATCTCATTAGCCAAAATCACATCAAGGCTCAGGTCCTGCCCAAACTTTTCTGGGTTGTAAAATATGCTATGAGTATTTTACATGCATTGCCATTTCATTAATTCCACTGTTCATCCTCAAATGTTTGGTTGGTTCTGTGAGTCTACAAAACACAGTGAATATAAAGAAGAGTAAGTTCTCATACCCTTGGTCCATATCCATCCCAGCTCTAATGACCTTCCCTTGCCTTTTTCTATCTCCCTTCAACAAGGCCAAGTGGAGTCAGTGGCCACGTTCAAGGGTAATGAGTTCTTCAGCTACGACCTGTCCCAAAAGCCCATCCAGAGCAGCACAGATGAAATCACCCTGTCCTTCCGAACGCTGCAGCGGAATGGCCTCCTGCTCCACACCGGCAAGTCTGCCGACTATGTCAACATGTCTCTGAAAAGTGGGGCCGTGTGCCTGGTCATCAACCTGGGCTCCGGTGCCTTTGAGGCTCTGGTGGAGCCGTCCGACGGCAAGTTCAACGACAATGCCTGGCATGCAGTCCGTGTGTCCCGCAACCTACGTCAGGTAACGTTCACCTTTGCACATCGTGGCTCCACAGGGTGCTTCATTTGATTTTTCTGATATTTTTGATGACTGAATTTTGGTTAACCTGTATTACTGTGATAAGTAGGTGTATAAATGTGTAATTGCAGTATTAACTCTTTAAAACTGCTTTTAGCGATTTCTGCACTGCTAGCAAAAGTAATTAAACTAAAAAAAAAGTCTTTTGATTGGCTAATAGGGAATTTCAAGCGTGGTAGTGGTCAAAAAATCGCTACAAGTAGTTTTAAGTCAGTCTAAACCTTTCATTTAGCTATGTGTTTCTTCTGAAATAACTGTTGTTCCACATATGAGTTTAGCCTGAAATCCTGTGATATCAAGAGTATATTGTTTGTAATAAAAGGTGAATTTTAGACTGCATTTTTGGGGAAGGGGTTGTTCCAAACAAAAGTGAGCAGCCAAATTTTCTTCAGGAAAGACCCTTCAATTAGGCCGTTAGCAAAGGAAATTTCATGGAAGTATATTAGTTTTTAAACCCAACAGGATGTGTCACTTACATATTTACAGATTTTGCAGGAATGAATCCTAAAACCTGTAAACAAATTAAAAAATTTTCACTTTTGGTTCCTGAAGTCAGTTTTTTTTTTTTAAGAATGCCTTTTGAATGCTTGAAATAAGGTCTGTGGTTTAGCACAAGCTTAACATATTTTCACATTTTATTCTACAACATTAAAATGCATCAGTAATATGATTTTACATATCTTACTCCTTTGCTAACAAATGGCTGAATGGGACTACAAAAGAAATTGGTGACATTAAACGTCATGTCGAATAGGAAAGATAATTTGCTAGTCCACTTTTACAGCCTTGCTGTGTTGATACTTGTGCACCTACACACTATTCTAACTCAAATTTTACAATTTGTAGACTTTAAATAAAGATTAAATGAGTTGACGGAAATTAATTTATAATAATTTAATTTAATTATAATTTATGCATTTAGCAGACGCTTTTATCCAAAGCGACTTACAGTGCATTCAGGCTATACATTTTTTACCAGTATGTAAATAAATTATTATGTAAATAGTATAAATTAGTGGTGGTGATATTATAATCTTGTGACCTATGCTTAGCTTTTTTTACTTCTGGTGATTGTATTTACAGTGTAGGCTTCAAAATTCATAAATGTTGTGTTTATTTGTAAAGATCATCTGGATGACGAAACATGTAAGAATCATAAACTTTTGTTGGACACAGAGCTTATTTTCTGCAGTAATCCAAAAGCCAATGGAAAAAACCAAAAAAAAAAAAAAATTTCAGATAATGTTCAGATTTAATAAAGTGCTCAATTTTGAATGGAATTTACCCTGAGATGCGCTGCACAATGCCCAGTCTTAATTGGAATCAGATGGTTTCACAGGTGCTTTAGTGGACCAGGCAGTTGGAGCTTGTCCACCTAACAATGCTAGCCGTCAGAGAATTAACAAGGTAATATGTAACTCTAATTGCAAAATAGATTTACGTTGCAAAATAGATTCACTGAGATGTGTTCATTTCAGCGATTTAGGAAAATATTTCTGTTGTTGGAATCTTGGAGGTCACTGCAGGATTGAAGTACCATTAAGCCACAGGCACTTCCAGACATAGACGGCGGTGATAATTACCTTCCAGTTGTTACTAACCAGTATGAATGTGTGTGTGTGTGTGTGTGTGTGTGTGTGTGTGTGTGTGTGTGCGCGCGAGTCCCTGTTGAGGAGGAGTGTTTTGATTTGGCGACTCCATTCAAGTCCAGACTGCACCGCTCTGTTTTGCCTGTGATTAAATACACAACGGTGAATATGCTCCAATTACGCCGGTAAAATAATCTGTCCAGTAAGCTTTCCATCTTGTGGAGAAGGGGGAGTGTTTACTATTTATTATTTAACCTAAGAGAAAAGGGGTCCCTCTATCACAGCCTTCAAAAAAGCAGCGTTGTAGTTGAGGCTGTTTTTTTTTTCAGTGCCATTATCCTGATTGTTTTCGATCCGTTATTGCTGAAATATGATTATATGATAGGGCACATCGTATAGACACACACTATGCCTGCTCGCTTCTGCCGCCACTGATTATTTGTCCATTTGACTGCCGTAACCTTTTGCTCAAGTGTTGCTTACAGAGCTGAGGGTGCACCTTGCATCTGTTAACGAATGAGCTGTATTTTTGTTCTGCCATGACAAATTATGGAAGTACCGAGCTCGCCGACGCCGAGCAGGCATAAACGAGTGCATAACGGGTGTTGACATTTTTACTTTTGTCATTCATTTACCTTAAATAATGAGTGAGTCGCTACTGCTGCTGTCATTCTTTACTCTAACGCTGCTGCCTCTGCAAGATCCCTCCTTCAAAACCCTCCCTGAACCATCTTGTTTGACAGATTAGTTGAATTCTCTCTCTTTTTCTCTCTTTTACTAACACTGAAGCCTCTAAGTGGATTTGTCATTGTTTATCTTCTGCCTTTACCCTTTCAAATACTAACATGAAATCCTCCATGGAATGTGAGCCATCTGTTTGCCGTTGACAGTGTCCAAAGAAATTAGGTATAAACTAACAGATTTCAACAGCTATTTTTTTTCTTCTCATTCTTCCTGGGAAGATATATTCTAATGGAGGGCGGAGAAATTAGTATCATTTCGTGGTATGCTTAAATTTGCTTTAAAATTGCTAGTAAGTCATATTTCAATCCTTTTAAAGCGTCTGTGGAGTTTATGGTATGTAATTTTACTCTCCCTCCTTGTTTTTTTCTTTTTTTGAAGCGCGCAGGGGTTGGACTCCCTACGGTAAACAAACTGCATTATATGGTAGATATCACATTCTAATTTGTCTAGTTTGGTTTGGCCCTTTCTTTTTATCTCTTTTTGCTTTTACTGTGCAGAAACGACTAAAGAAAAGTTTAAAAATGGCATCAATCCCCAGGTGCCATGCAAAAGTTCATTTTTTGCCATTTGCAATTTATGTACATTGTTTTTTTTTATTCCACTCACAATCCTCTCACCCATATCCTTATTCAAATGCTTTTTGTTGTATGAGTTCTACCATCAGTAACACATCTTATTTGGCTGAGAGTTTCTACGGTGGGCGTAAATGATGCTGTAAGCTGCTGACTACAGTCTGGGACACCCTATGGCTGACACTGGATTTGTTTTCTCAGACAGAATTTGTACTGACAAATACATATTTTTATGCTTAATATAAATCCTGATGTATTGCTCCAAAACCATATCCTCAGAATTACACAGACAAACTTGCCAGTTACATTAAATTGCATGTTAATCTAAAATATAAACTGCCCAGTGTCAAAGTAAAAGGGCAGAGGGTGCTCTTTCAAAGCATTTCGTAATTTCTCAGATAAAAGAAACAATCAAAAACAAACATTTGAGTGCAGCTCTTGTGCAGTATTTCTGTCCTCCTGCTCTATTTTCCCTCATTCTCCCCCTTTGATTTTGGCTTTTATTAAATGTTGCAGCATCTCATACAGAGATTTCGGTGCACTGTATGATGTAGCATTTAATAATTCTGATTCTTGCTTAGATACGTCTCTTAATATGCAATGTTCTCAAGCATTGTGTTCATACCTGCCAAGTTAATCAACAGGAGAGAAGGGCAGTGAAGGCTTTTATTTGTAGATGCAGCTATATTAGCTTAGATACAGTTTACTGTTAATAGCACAATATATGCCCAATTCAAAGAAAAAAAAAAGGCAAGCAGAAAACTCTACTCTTCAAACTTTGTTGCAGACAGATGATTTCAGTGTGAAGCTTAGCTGATTATAATGGGAGCGATTTAGTTTCGACACGCCGTGTAGGTACGGTGTACCTGTGGGTTGCTTATGGTTGCCAAGCAACATCTTAACTCCAATTAGGAGTTATAGTATAGAATATAGATATAATATAGAATATATAGAATTCAACTGCATAAATCTGCTATTTTTCAGTGGCTTCAAACCTGACTAAAATTGTCATATTTGTAATGTATTATTCTTTTGAGACTTGTTTTTAACTCAAGCATTGCATAATGTAAAATGATCATTTATAAATATGAGTAATGATGTGAATGATCTTCCTTTTTGGTTTGCATCCTTCACATTGCAGTAAATGAAGTAAATAAATATTATGTATTAATTTTTAAAGTATTTATTAAATTTTCTGAATTAAATAATATATGACTATTGAAAAAAACATTACATTTAAGTGATGTTTAAAATGATGTAAAATTACTCTGTGAGAGGATTTTGCACCTATCACCCCTAAATACAATCAGATAACATGTTTAGATGTTTACACTGTGTTAATGCTAAAATGTACAAGCCCTTCTGTTTCTACAAGTAACATGTTATTGACAGTTCTTTCTCATTTCCAGTTGCCTTTAACTTTAACACTTTAATCTGAAAGAATGACCTTGGGCAGACAAATGGAGGTGTACTGCTTGAGCACAAACACTCACTGTTTATATGAATTGAAAGTGGAAAATGACAGAATTGGATAAAAATGATTGTGGCTGCCATACAGCCGTTATTAACCCTCTGTCTAGGGAACAGAGAAAAGATTGACCTCCCTTTACCCTTCTCTTCCTGTGGCGAGAGTACATCTTGTTTTCTTCATGAGTTTTTTTTTTTTATTGATTTTTGTCATTCATTTCTTTAAGTAGCTGATGACATGTGGCACTTTTTATCCAGCATGTGCACATGTTTTGCATCATTGGACTTACGCTTTGTATACCGTGTTTTTTAAAATATAATATGCAGCTTATACACACCATTATGCACCTGCATAATTTGCTTCCACTGCATGTGTGGGTAACTATTTTTGTTGATGTTGTGTGGTGCTGTACATTATTTATTTATTTTTTGGGTTTCTTTTCCCCTCCATATCTTGCTTTCTCTGCTCTTTCTCTCTTATAAAGGTTCAGACAAATACTGGGTTTCAATTTCAGGACAATGCATACCATCTACAATTTCCAGCAAACAAGCTGCATTTTTTTCCCAGCTTTGCCTACTTGTCCGCAGTAATAATAATGTTCACAGAATATTTGACGATATTAGAGATGGAATCTGAATCCTTTCTGTCTGTCGGCATGGAAACGCCTCAACCCCAAGCATTTATTAAGACAGTAAGAAAACCACCTGTTTTGGATGTCTGCCAGTGTTTCCACACTTCAACATTAACATTTACAGATGTTGCAAGTATAATTGTGCTCTAGATGCATTTAATTAATCTTAAATGACTCTTTATAATGAGTCTAACTACATTAAGTCCTGAAATCGCAGCCCGAGATGCCTTAACCGTCATGCATGGCTTGTGTATTAACAAACTGAAAGCTGTCGCTACCCAAACACCTCCAAAGTATTCTTTTCAAGACATCTCTTATATAATGTGTGCAATTAATCCAGTAGTTGATCAGAACTGACCACCAACCTAGCTAAATGCAACCTCTGTTATACTAACAACCATTTTTGTGTCTGAATCCCCCCCTTTTATACTAATCTCGCACAGTCACCCTTAACATCACTTGCTAACCCACTCAACATTTAGTAATTCCTCTTAGCTCCTGTAGCCATAGACCTCCCCTTCCTGTCTCTCCTCTCCAGCACTGACTAGTGCACAGTCCAGCACACATGACAGCATTCTCTCATTCAGAAAGCAGCAATAGCAGACATAAAAATGGGTTGCCCCCTCGCTAACGTATGCATACAGAACCAGAGGAACCCCCACGTGAAACAGATTTGAGTTTTTTTAGTAGAGGAACTTGTTGAACCCAACAAGGATTTCACCTTTTGCATAATCAAAGGATTTCCCACGTTCCCTCTCTTGTTTCTTCCCCCTCTCTCTCTCTCTCTCTCTCTCTATTTTCTATCCCTCCGTGGCCTTTATGCAAACACAGGTGACGATATCGGTGGACGGCCTGCTGACAACCACTGGCTACACCCAGGAGGACTACACCATGCTGGGTTCAGATGATTTCTTCTATGTGGGCGGCAGTCCAAATACCGCAGATCTGCCCGGCTCCCCTGTGAGCAACAACTTCATGGGCTGCCTTAAAGATGTAAGAAGTGTTTTGTTCTTTCCTTTGATTTCAAGCGAGATGGTCGAGATCTGCTCAAAGAAGATCTGGTTTCTCGAGTTCCTTTGATGTTCTTTTTGTTTGGCGAGCAGTCTGTCCTCTTTTACCTCTTCCTTATCTGTCCTTTCTCCTTTCTCTTCCACGTCCATTTGTACCCCTCCGAGCATGTCCCATAATTTATGTCATGTCTATACTGTTGAAGTTCCAGCTTTACTATCCTGACAGCCAAATAAAAAATTTATTTCCTCTATGGATCCCCATTCGACTGTCCCAGACTCTCCATCTCTGTCTCGTTGACCCCGGACTCTATTAATCACCACTCTCTACCTGCTCAACCATTCAGTTAGTATCAGTGGCCCTCTTCAGCAGGAGCTTGAGCACTCCCTTATCGCACCTCTGATAGAGACATATACTCGTCTACAATTCTGTTACGCTTTTGGGAGTCTGTGTTTTGTCTTGTTTTTGTCTTGTCGCTCTTTCGTTTTCATTTGGTCTTTTGTTGTGCAGGTATTGTGTGTCATGTTTGTTGTTGGATGTTCATGTTTTCCCCCATGTCGACTGCGTCCACCTGTGTAGCGTTTAATTGGGCAGGTTTGTCAAGGTATATATACCCTCTCGAGTCATTTGTCAGGTCCTTATTAGTTGTAATGTTTGGTGAGCCTTGTTTTTTTGTTTCTCTTGGTTCTTGTTTTTTTCTTATCTCGTATTTGAAAATAAATATATATTTTGATCCTCCATTGAGACCACTTTTTTTGCCGAGAACAAATCCCCTGTTTTATGTTGAGAACTATTTGATGTATTTAATAAAATATTAACGTAAAATTAACAGCTTGAAAAGTAGCTATTTTTAACAATCAAATGTCTGTACAGTCACATCTCAGAGGTTTTGACTTTCTTAAATGTATCCAATAATTAAAAGCACTTAACAGTATCATTTTGTCACTCTATTTTTTTTCATTGTAGTAAATACTGTTTTGAATAATTTTAATGACTAAAACATATTTAACTGTCACACAGTTTGCATGCAAACCTGTTAATACAAGATTTTCCCTCATTGCGAATAAAGTAACGTTCCTCAAAATTGTGACACCCAAGGAAAACAAATTACATTTATACATTTGGCAGACGCTTTTATCCAAACCGGCTTCTATTGCATTCAAAGTACATGTTTTTAGCAGTTCATGCATTCCCTGGGAATCAAACCCATGACTGATGTTGTTAGCACCATGCGCTATTGTCTCAGCTACAGCAATACTGGATTACTCATTTTGGATGAACAGTTTAGACCTTTTCTATGGCATGGCGGGAAGACAAATCAATGTTTCGTAATTTGTTTTAATTTTGTCCATTTTATCTGTGCAGATTTTATGTTCATTGAATGTTTATCACGAGAATTTTCAAACCTTGGAAAAAAAATTTTAATGTATGATAACTAAAATATCTTACAGTGTTTAGTCTGACCACCTGAGGTTGACATTTTCAAAAAGGTTTAGAACCTTTTGTCTGATAATTGGAAAAAAGATTTGCAGTCCCTGTTTTGTACCCCATTTTGAAAAGTGCCTGTTCCAAGAAGATTTTTAAATTTTCTAAAGAAAATTTAAGTAGTGCTTGCCGGTGGAAAAAGTCTCTGACAATACTTAGATGTTGTTTTTGGTTTCTTGAGCAGTTGTTGAGGTGTTCAGTGTTTTTAGTGCTTCATCATGCAGTTGCTAGGCTGTTGTGTGTGGTTGCTAAGGTGGCCCAAGTACAAAAAGTGTCTCCCTCTTCTATGTTTAGCATGTTTCTTTAGGGGGTTTGAAAAATCCCTAACCCCAAGTATAGTGACCTCCGACTACATAAATGTGAGATAGGAAACAAGCAACGAGACATTTTAAGAAACACTGAGATAACAGACCCGTATCTTAATCTGATAGTGAATCAGGAAGATTAGTATGCTTAGGTTGTGATGGTTTAAAACGGTCTCATTGACAGATCCCTCAGATTTTTTTGTCCACACTCTCAGGCAATAATTGCATTTTTCATGTTCCTTTGCTCGGAGCTGGCACCTCTTGTTTTGCTCCTACCTCTTTCCTTTATTTTTCTGTCATGAGGGCTGACAAGAAACATGACTGTCTTGTGTTATTTTCAGAGACACTCAAGTTCACACCCAGCAACAAAGCGTCAGTCATCATCTTCGGACAGAGAGAGCGACTGGTGTAAAAATGAAAAGCATGTTTGCTGTGCTGGGCTGATTCGCCCATCTGGCTGTAGAGACTAGAGATGTGACTGAGACAAAAAAAAATCAGCCCCAGGGGACACATTCACAATGCATGTGTTGTAGGAATGTTATTTTAGGATCAGTTTTGCTTTGTGTCTTATAGTGTGGGCTAGACATCATACCCTAAATCAAGATTTCTCAGTTGACATCACCTAATGAATGCGCTGTTTATGCGTGCGATTCAAAAAACCGCTTAGCTTTGGCATCGTCAGAGCTAATGTTAGCGTAGGATGATTCATCATCCTACATTCGTTAATGAAACAGAATATCGATTAGACGGGGGTTTCTGTAGCGCTCTAGATGAGGTCGCTAGGTTTATGTGATCCACTCGTACTTCGAGTATTTAAAGAGACTGCTGTGTTTACTGACTTGAAAACCGTGCCCCCGAGGTACACGCATCAGCTGTGGTTTGTTTGTACCAGTGGGCAGCAGGCTACTCTATTCCACCCTGTTAGCATTCAAGCACTTTTTTTCCCTCTCTCTCTCTCCCCGTCCCAGGTGGTCTACAGCAATAATGAGTTCAGACTGGAGCTCTCCCGCCTGGCTGAATTGCGCGACCCCAGGGTCACCATCCACGGTGACCTGACCTTCCGCTGCGAGGATGTCGCCGCATTAGACCCCGTCAGTTTCGACACGCCGACTGCTTATGTAACCCTTCCGCACTGGAACGCAAAGAAAGCCGGTTCCGTGTCCTTCGACTTCCGAACCACCGAACCCAACGGCCTCCTGCTGTTCAGCCACGGGCGGCCACAGAGTTCCAAAGATCACAGACCGAAGGTGGACTTCTTCGTCATGGAGCTGCTTGAAGGTTTCCTCTACCTGCTCATGGACATGGGCTCCGGGAGCATCAAGATGAAAGTCGGGAACAAAAAGGTCAATGACGGAGAATGGTGCCACGTGGATTTCCAGAGAGAGGGCAGGAAAGGTCAGGATACTGCAAGATCAGCACACATTATTCGCCTGTTTAAAACGCTGTTGTTAACCTACTTGCTTTGATTTTTGCTCAGTTGTGAGACTAAAGGGACGTTTCCTTTTAATGTCTGCCGTTAAAGCACTTCGTTCTGCCCGCTTAGGGTCCATCTGATATGCATACTTCACAAACTGCTAAATCACTGTACTCCATTTCTTCTACTTCTCATTACCTCTCATTACTGTAAGAGCTCAACTCAAATACACTTTCCACAGTTTTAAAGCAGCAGGCCCGGCGTGAGATTTAGCAAATCCCGGGGGAAGAGGTTGAAGACCTTTCCACTAGCTGAGCTCAGGGGGGAAAAAAAGGAAGCACAGTGGATTGTTAATGCTAGGGCTGTCAATTAAATGTGTTTTTTAACTGCTACTACAAGCATCCAGGGTTGTGCAGTTCATGAGTTTGAATTTGAATTGGCCAGACCCCTCAGGAAGTTGAATTGGAATGAAAGGAAAAGGAATTTACTGATTTAGAATACACATCAAATACATTCTATCATCTCTCTGTCTATCTCTCTATCTACAGTCGTGGTCAGAATTATTGGCACCCTTGGTAAATATGATCAAAGAAGGCTGTGAAAATAAATCTGCATTGTTAATCATTTTGATCTTTTATTTAAAAAAAAATATCTAACCTTTAATTGAACTAAAACAATTGAAAATGGGGGAAAATCTCATTATGAAATAAATGTTTTTCTCAATACACGTTGGACACAATTATTGGCACCCCTAGAAATTCTTGTGAGTAAAATATCTGTGAAATATATTCCCATTCATATTTACAATTTTGAGCATACCAGGGTGATTATGAACATGAAATTATCCAGCCATGGCTTCCTGTTTCACAGGAATATAAATAGGAGGGAAAACAAAGGCCAAATTCCCTTAATCATCCATCACAATGAGAAAAACCAAAGAATATATTTCTGATGTGCAGCAAAAGATAATTGAGCTTCACAAATTAAAAAGTGACTTTAAGAAAATTCCCATTTCCACCATCAGGGCAATAATTAAGAATTTCCAATCAACAGAAAAAGTTACAAATCTGCCTGGAAGAGGACATGTGTCTATATCGTCCTAATGCTATCTATCTATCTATCTATCTATCTATCTATCTGTCTGTCTGTCTGTCTGTCTGTCAATCTGTCGTTCTGTTTGTCGTTCTGTCTGTTATTCTGTCTGTCTATTGTTCTGTTGTTCAGTTTAGTGGTCTATCTCTGTCTATTCTGTCATTGTTATTCTGTCTGTTGTTTTCTATCTATCATTCAGTTTGATGTTCTGTCTGTTGTATATATCTGTCTTTCTATGTATTTATTGTTCTCTCTTTCATTCTATCTGTCATTCTGTCAGTCATTCGATTCGATTTGATTGTTCTGTCTGATGTTCTATCTACAGTATATATCATTCTGTCTGTCGTTCTATCTGTTTTTCATTTATTTTGTCTGTTATTCACTGTCAATCTGTCTATTGTTCTTTTTTTGTCTTGACAGACTTTGCTTTTCTAATGAAAATTATTCATATAAATTTCTTTGGATTCCAATTCATTTTAATTCTACTTCCTTACATCCAAATTCAAAAAGTTTACTGCCTCAATTCAAATTAAGGATTTGAATTGCAGTTGAAATGCATTGTCAGTGCCATTCTAAATAGTGCACAGCCTTGCAGACAACACTTGGCAAATTATTTTCTGATTATTTCCAGTTTCAGTTTAATTAATCAAAGTAGCATGTCATTTTTTTTTTGGACCAATTCTCACTATTAACAAGTTTCTTATTAGCATGCATATTACAATCATATTGGGTTTTTATTAGTACTTTAAACACATTAATACCTTAGTCTGCATGACTATTTTTTAGATCTGAATTCTACCTCATACCTAAACTTAACAACTTCCTTACTAACTATTAATAAGCAGCAAATTAGGAGTTTATTGAGGCTAAAGTCTTTGTTAATAGTTAGTTAATAGTGAGAATTATTCCCTAAACTAAAATGTGACCTACTTTTCTAAATCAATTTATAGTCCTATTTTATTAAAAATTGGACAAAAATAGCTCTAAATGTTGTGGTGTATAGGTTCACATGTAGATTATCATCAATCACTACTTCCTCCTCATTTCCTATCACCTAGGCTCTATCTCCGTCAATGGCCGCAGCATGCCGTTCTCCACCAACGAGGGCAGTGAGATTCTGGATCTCGATGGTGAAATGTTTCTGGGGGGTCTGCCGGAGGACAGCGGCAGTCTTCCTCTCCCCCCAGAGGTGTGGACCGCCCGCCTCAGGCTGGGCTTTGTGGGTTGCGTGCGGGATCTCTTTATAGATGGGCGCAGCAAGGACCTGCGGCGGTTGGCGGAGCTTCAGAGCGCTCCAGGTGTCAGCAGCTTCTGTACGAGAGAGACCCATCGGAGGTGCAGCTCTGAGCCCTGTTCCCACGGAGGCCGCTGCCGCGAGGGCTGGAATCGACATGTCTGCGACTGCACTGGTACTGGATATCTGGGCCCCAACTGTGAGATGGGTGAGGAAAGTAGGGCTTAAAGCAGTGGGGAGGGAGGATTAAACATGGGATTACTTCTTACCGATGAGACACGTTCTCATAAAGAAGAGCAAGGCTTCAGTGCTTCACTTGTATACTTTTATATTGAGATACAGCTGCACTTTAGCTGTATTCATCAGATCCCACCTGCCTAGACCTTTGTTTGCTATTGCTGTATCGTTTCTAACTCTCTCCTGCCCTCTGTTGTCTGTCATTAAGAATAGCAACTTGACCACACAATGTCCACTACAGACATGTCACAGGTGACTCAGCATAGGTGCACATACACTTGAAGCAATATTTTAATAGTTATATGTAGCGAATAATGTAAATATTATGCTAAAATTAGCATGTAGCATGATGGTAGCATGATATTTTGCTGATAATTATGTCTGCTTGGCTGATTAACAGAAGTTTATCTATATTTTCTATTATGTGGTTTTACTGATCTTTTGAGTAAAATCATGGAGTTGCATTGTAGTTTTATGCAAGGTTATTTTAATAAACTAAAACTAACCTGACTAAAATGAAAATAAAAATTAATAAAAACTATGTAGACACATTTAAAAAAAAACAGTAACCAAACAAAATTACAAAATACAACAAAGTTACTAAAATTAAAATGAAAAGTAAAAATCTAAAAACGTATATAACTCAAAATATATATAAAAAACAACCGTTTTTGAAGTATCTCAATAATGCTAAAATAACAAATTACTATTATTATTATTACTGATAATAATATTTTTAAATTTATATTTAATTTAAGTTATTTTCTTACTTATTTTAGACCACTTACAAATGTAAAAGCAACAGAAAAAGTCCTCATTTTTTAGACCTGTGTTTTCTGATTTACTCTCTTTTTTCTGCTCTCTCAGAGTCCGCAGTGCTGAGTTATGACGGCAGCATGTTTCTGAAGGTCCTGATGCCTCACGCCGTTCACACTGAGGCTGAGGACGTGTCTCTGCGCTTCATGTCGCAGAGGGCTTATGGTCTGCTCATGGCCACCACCTCCAAAGAGTCCGCCGACACCCTGCGCCTGGAGCTGGACGGGGGAAGGGTCAGACTCACCGTCAACCTAGGTAAACTTCCACTGCTGACCTCCGGTGTCGAGGCACTCCTAGAACAAGTGTGGGGTTCCTTCCAGAATGCATTTCACCTTCATTCCTCCATCTTTATCTCTTTCTCGTCTTCCTCTCTCACTGTCTCTCTTTCTTTCTTTCTTTCTTTCTTTCTCTCTCTCACCTGTGCAGCCTTCAATGGCTATATTTTCTGCAGCTTTCAGAGCAGACAGCCAGAGAGACCAACCCAGGTAGTTTGTCCTCAGAAGGCACATTGAGTCATAATAGGGGAGACAGAGGGGAAATTATATAATTTTCCTAAATTTTTCTACCTGCCATCTTTGGGTACAAGAAACATATGATCATAATAATATAATAGAATTAATATAATTAATATAAAATAATTTAATTTAATATTAACCACTATATTTCAAAGAGGAGCACATCTCAAAGCAATACTATTTGTGCTTAAATAATTTGACTAAAATATTAATCATTTTAGTCATCAGGAATAATATATATGCATTGAAAGTAAAAGTCTTAAATGGGAATGATATATATATATATATATACATACATATATATATATATATATATATATACACACATACATTTTTTCCCCAAAGTGATACAATTTTAATACATATTTTAAGTACATATTTTAATACAAATCTGTTATCAAGAAATAAAAGATAGAAGTTTAATTTCAAAGACTGTCAAAACTTTAGATGGGAAGACAATCACAGGGGGTTCAGGAAATTCTTTATACTCAAAGTGTAGTGATAAAAAGTAATCGAATCACATTTCTTTTTTTCAAGCAGAGAGAGAGCTTTACCAAGCATTCGCTGAATAAGTGTTGGCAGTCTAGCTTGTTTGTGATTGAAGAAATGTAATTGCCCCCTGATCTCTCCCACCATAAAAACCAAATAGTAATTCTTCTAAAGTCTCTCACTGCCCTTTCAGCTCAGGCTCCTGCTCTGACAGCAGACTGTGTCTGTTTGTACAGAAGATTACAGACAGTTCCAGTCCACAGGAGAGTGGAGTCTGAGCTAGTCTTCCTGTCTTAGAGCAGTGTGACGGTGAGACAGGTCCCTGGCTGTCTGTGGTCACTCTTCTGTAGCGGTTGACAGCTTGAGAGTTCACCACAGCCAAGACTGCTCGCACTGTTCCGCAGGACGTTATTACCTCTCTTTAGTCATATCATCAGCCTGCACAATGTTTTTTCTTTTTTGTTCAATAGAAAATAGGACATTTGGCGTGCAAAGGTTATTGGTAAATACTTTACCTTACTAATGCCAGTTAATATAACAAACAAACTTCAAATTATAATCTCAGAGATTCTTCTATAAAACAAAATTCTGTTTTATTTGTGATGATTTAAATGTGCTTTTAAATCATTACGTTTTCCAGTGAATGTGTCATTAGAATTTCTTTGCATTCTCTTCTTGTTTCTTGATTTAAACTTCATCTAAACTTTAAACTTTATTCATCTAAAATTTTAACTTTAGAGGCAAACATGCTCAGAGGTTGGAAAAAGTATATGCAGATACACTACCATTCAAAAGTTTGGGGTCAATTTAATTGTATTTACTATCTATCTATCTATCTATCTATCTGTCTGTCTGTCTGTCTGTGTCTGTATCTATCTTTTATATATATATATTTTTTATTTTAGTATTATTTAAAAAAAAAAAAAACTTTTATTCATCAAGGGTGCATTAAACTGATCAAGTTTTTAAAAAAAAATTAAATGCAGCCTTGGTGAGCATTAAAGAGACTTCTTTCAAAAACATTAAACAATCTTACCAAACCCAAACCTTTGAAGAGCTTGTACTTCATGAAATGGAAAAGCTTTTACCATATACAATATTCAGCTTTTTTGTTCCTCTGATTTAAAAAAAACGTTTTAAGCCATTTCAAAAGAAGCACATCAAGATACATCTCTCTCTATATATATATCTCTCAAACATTTTCAAAAGGCTGAGAAATATCGCTGTGTATATTTGTTTAGCTCTACCGCCCAGTCTATAGGTGAACTGTTTTATAAGCATGAGCTCTTGGCTGATGGTGCAGACTGCCCTTGCCTACAGTCATACTGGCACCACCCACATACAGGGAGGAGGCAAAGCACAGGCTAAATCCAATGTTTTGTCTGTATATTTATAAATTGCCAAATGCCACATATCTGGTCTTGGCATTTCACTTATTGGTTAGTTTATGTGCTGTCTCTCGTCCTGTGATTGTGGGGTGTGGGCCCTTGTAGAGGGGGCCATTCTGACTCTCACCTTGTCCCCGGATGGTTGACTCTATGCAATAATTGTTTGTTTGTCTGCAGATTGAACCTTGAAGGATGTGGTTTTGAATTTTAGTTTCTTTTCCTTTAAATCTCACCATCTCACTCTCTTTCCCACCAGATTGTATCGGGATAGACTGTAACCTTAGTAAGTGATTCTTTTATCTGCAATGCTATTTTTATCTCTTCTCTCTCTCATGCTCAGCCCCAATTCATCAAAAGTTTCTTCTCCTCCCTCGTAATCCTGTCTTCCTGCACCGTTAACACAGCTTTTCTTTTGAACATGTTCCCAGTTTGCATCCCTCTCTCTTTTTCCTCTCACTCTCCCTCCCCAACAACCCCCTCTCTCCCGTGTTCCCTCAATCTCAATCTCTTTTGTTCCGCAACATATGCAGATTTGCTGCGGTGTTTGAAATTAAGCATAACCATCCCAACAGTTTTCATTTCAACACCATATGTTTCTCACTGCTCCTCCAATTCTCTAGTCTGTTTAATGTTCCTGTGGGACTCTGTTACATAAGGAAAATACGATAATAAACCATATAATAAAAGAAGAAATCTTCATTTGCCAAATCAGGCGTGAGGTTGAACATTGCCTGTATTTGAGCGGTGTTACATCCATGCATATGTGTTGGGAAACGATGCAATCCTCAGTATTAGCAGTGCAGTGATGCTGAAGGTAAGTAGTATAAATCGGATGTATGAGACAAAAGGACCTCAGGTTGTATTTTGTGTGTGTGTGTGTGTGTGTGTGTGTGTGTATTTAGCTATAGTTTGTGAACAAACCTTTGGGGAAATTTAGGATGTCCTCATTTGGAAAAACAATTTGTAAAAAAAATTAAATTATATATAGGCTGGTCAGTAGTATTGTTTATTGTAATTATTCTGTCTACACCAAAAAAAAGAGAAACAAACTGTTTTCACAATTAATTACAATGAAACCGCATGTAACACATTGAATTAAATGTGAAATGTAGAAAGTAGAAAGACTGAAATAGTATTTTCTTGTAAAACATACTCCAATATTCTGTTTTATTTACAACAAAACCATTTTTGCAGTGTATCTGTCTGTCTGTATCTTTTATTTTTATTTATTCATTTGGGTTTATTGATCCTACTTGCAGATTAGTTTACAGTTTCCCAAGGAAAAAAAAAATCTAAAAATACGCTACCATTCAAGTGTTTGAAAAGTCTCTTTTGCTCACCAAAGTTGCATTTATTTGATCAAGAATACAGTAGAAAGTAATACTTTGAAATATTATTACAATTAAATGAACTAATTTGGTAACACTTTGTTTTACAGTGTCATTGTTACACATTACATGTACTTCATAGAGTAATAACAAAAATTATGCATAATTACGTGCAATAACGTAACCCTATTGTAAGTACTTGTTATTAATTAATATTACTCGGTACTTAAATGTATAATTATGCTGTAAACTTGGGATTACTATTTTAATATATTTTAATATGTCATTTATTGCTGTGATGCAAAGCTGAATTTTCAGCAGTCATTACTTAAGTCTTCAGTGTCACATGATCCTTCAGAAATCATTCAAACACGCTGAAACATTTCTTTTTATTGTCAGTATTGAAAACAGTGCTGCCTAATATTTTTTAATTGACACCGATTTCTTTGTTTCTTTTTTTTCTTCATGATGAGTAGAAAGTTCAAAAGTGATATGCCTTTCAATTTAATTGTATTAAAAATCTTTACTGTCACCTTTTGATTAATGCATCCTTGCTGAATAAAAATATTACTTTCTTTAAAATGGTAGTGTATGTATTTGGTAAATTGCTGTGGTATGTAGGAGGGACAAAAATAGATGCAAAAATAAACAAAATAAATGAAATGTTCTGGAATATGGTGCAATTGGTAGCTAAATGCTAAATAGCCAGATATTTCAGAAACATAATGTAGGATTTGTTAGTGTGTAGTAGTATGATGTCAGCTAATATTGGTACATTAATTCTTTACTTGGCTTTATACAGTAAGCAGTAGTATGTTCTCATTTCAATAACAGCAAAATGTTTGTGGATGTGCATTGTGTCTGTTTCATGAGGGACAAAAAATTATGAGGCTACAGTACGTGAATTCATCCTCTTTCCTTTGTTTGAGGATTAAAGCTTTTTCCATTTGCTTAAGATATTCTACACTACTAAAATGTATGCCACGTACAGTATTTACATCTCTCATTGTGAGATTTGTCTCTCTAGTACTTCATTAGTCATGAGGTAGTAGGTGTTTGTGCTTCAGGGCACGGTTCCCAAAAAGGCATGAACATCTTTTGTGCATTGGAAATTCTGACATGTTCACCATTCAAATGCGTCATCACAGATTTATTCATCTGTTATAATGACTCAACAAATTTGGATTTGTAGAATGTTTTTCATTATAAATGTTAAAATAATTCCAATGACAAACACAGATGTATAAGACTATGACGCATCATGTGCTGGTTTAAATAAACTGTAGAGGCATTACGCAGAGCTTTTAAGAAGTAAGTAGGCCCACACAGATGTTTTTAAAGTTCTACACATCCTGAGCTCCTTTGTTTTTGTCTATGAAATATTTGGCTTACTTCTATTATGTGTTAAGCTACCAGTTACACAGAATTTCACAGATTTCCCCAAGTTAAGCTCATTTCACTGCACTTGTGGCATAATGTTAATTTGGAGAATGCTTTCCATTGCTTTTTTTTTTAACAGTATAGCCACAAGATGTAAACAATGTTTTAACATGATATTAGTGTGAAAAAAATTGCTCACTAACCTTTGTTGTGGGCTTATTTACACTCGGCCATTTCATGCATTTTCTTTGATCGGATAGCTATCCGAATGTGAAAAGACCAGGTGTAAATGCCCTTCGGAACACATCCGAGATGGAAAAGGGCTCAAAATAAAGCTGTTAAAGGCTCCCGGTAACCAAGCATGTGCAAATTACCTTAAATGAAACTCACCGTTCGGCATCGCATCTTCAATCCACGGCATCTTCTCATGTTCAACAAACAGTCATCTACATTTACATTTAAAGTGGTGAACACTAAATTATTTGACCAGTGCTAATGATGCTCTATCATTGCTTCTATCAAGCATAAATAAATTAATTAGATAAATAGATAACATGGATAAATAAATAGAACATAGATAAATAAAATGCAGCACATATCTAATGTGAACTTTGATAAATTTGCACATAACGCTGGAACTGAAGATCGGATTTATATTCTTTTATTTGAGAAAATTCATTGCAAGTGTCAAATGTAAATAGGCCCCATGTAAAGACAGATATAGTTTTACAAGTTTATTGCCATGACAACATAACACCTAAAACCCCAAAACAATGGTAAAATGATGAGAACAATTTAATGGTTTTATCACGTTTTAACAAAACTATTGCATGCTTTTATAATATTTTTTCTGCTTCTGCTTTTAAATCCTTCAAACATTTATTTTCAGTGCCTTGCCATAACCTTTTTTAATTCTAATATTTTTGTTTCTAATTCTAATATTCTTTTTTAATAATTAAGTCTAAATTATGTAATATGTATTCTAAGACTTGGCTGTTACTATGTTTTAGCTCGGCTAAAGCACTGCAGGACTGAAACTTTCCTTTTTTTTTTTAAAAGAACAGAATCGCATGAATTCCACCACCAGGTGGCAACAAACACCATATTTTACAGCATCAGATTTAGTTTTACCTGAGTCTCAGGCTCTGCAAATGCTCAAGTGCCTTTTAAAGAACTGAATCTACGAATCATCTCTGTTTAGGGAGTGTAACATCCTTATCATCAAATACATTACAAACTATGGTAAATGCATTTGATGACACATATGGAGTTTTATGGCATGCCCACTATTTAGGATCTAAGAAACGATTTATCACACATAATGCTCATGGGGTGATGAATCTCTGCTTGGTCATATGTGGATAAGTACATTCATAATCAGATGAGCATGATAATTTTATATGTTAACCTGTGGAAGTGTTTCACAGTCCCCTCTACGCTCTCAATATTAACTCGATGGGTATGTCAAACATATTTAGACTGATGGAAGTTTTAATGACAGTAAAATGTTAATTGACTTTTAAATAGACAGAAATGCTGGTAGTTAAAGTAAATTATACCCAATTAGGGCCCTCTGCCATCTGTTGAAAGTCTTCTCACCATGATGTGCATTTTAAACAGTTTAGCACAGAGTAGTCATGAATACGAAGCAGATCCAGATGACGTTATCATTTAAAAATTACACATTAATGTTAAGTTAACATTAGGTTTTGATGAATAATTGACATTTTCCAGTGCTTGAAGCTGTTCATCAAAGTTTGCTGTGAAGATCTGCATTATAACATTTTGCACTTATATATTGTTGCTCTTTTGTTAGTTTTGACTGCTTTTATTGTCCTCATTTGTAAGTCGCTTTGGATAAAAGCGTCTGCTAAATGACTAAATGTAAATGTATAACGGATGTTTCTTGGTATCTAGCGCTGTTCTAACTCGTGTTTGCTTACACACACAGGTTTGATTTGTACTTGAATCGTTTATGCTGTCGCAGTTTCATTCGAAATGCTGAGTAATACTAGGCCGAGCCGAAGCGACACGTGTGCTCTTAGATTTAAAAGCAGGGATGGGCAACGATTTAAATTTAATTAACAAGCTGCCAGAAGGTGTAGAACGACAACTTCCCTCTCTCTGCCTCCTGCTCGCTTATTCTGGGGTTTTTTTCAGAGCTGGAAGAGCTAATTAGAGGGATGATATGACATCGACTCAACTCCAATGCAAAGAATGTCACACATACCTGGTCGTTACGAGTTTTATTCCTAGGTATTTAATCTATAGTGCGATTTTGAGCTGCAAACAGATTGCCTACCAGATTAATACCAGCTGTTTTGCTTATATACGAAATCATCCGTGGAAGGTTTATTAGATTTCGAGTGCTACAACACCCCTACAAATAGGCTGACGTTGTTCCTCGGAGGGTCTGTTGACTCCAGCAGAGCCAATTAGAGTAGCCAGCAGTGCAGTCTGAGGGGCTTTGAACCACCATGTCAGGCACTAGCCGCTTCGCATGATGAAGGCTGAGGCAGCTGCATCGGCCTGACCCATTTTTCTATGCGCACCCCAGGCGCCTCTGAGCACGCGCCAACCGGGGCCGCTGCGGGTCGGCAGCTGGCGCTTCTCAAAAGCGTTACTTTAGCATATTATCGGCAAACATTCACCGCTGCTGATTGTGGGACTCTTGAGGTCTGTGAGGGATTTGGTGTGTGTGTACTGTCACTTTAAACCTGTGTACCGAGGCACAGTACGGTTTTGTTCCTCGGTCATAAAACTCCTGAGCCTGTAAGATGATTATACACATGCCCAGGGCCAATTCAATTTAATTTCAATTCAGTTTAAGTATAATGCGTTTGTCTCATGTTACACACAAATGCTCAGACGTTCACCAGTCACTCTGTTATAATGAGGAGAACTGCTTCAATTGTGTTTTTTCCCCCTTTTTACTATTGAAGCAATGTTTTTAAAACACCGAATCAATGTGGTTTGTATCTGTAAGTGACATGTAAAGGAGAATACAATAATGTTTTATATGGAAGTTTAGATAATAGCAGAACTGAACTGGCAGCTGCAGATGAAAAATAGCTTTTAGTAATCACACATACTGTAGGCGGTGATGTGATGATGGTCTAGGTTCAGCTGTTGGGAAAATCCATACGAATCAACGAAGAAAACAGGTTAGTTAAAAGGATAGGAAATTACTTGATTTAGATGAGCTATTTAGATGAAACCAAACATGCATAAACATGCATAACATTGCTTTTGAGTTTAGTTGTCAGATGAATTAGCTTTTAGTTGCAGATATTTCCCAATAGATTCTACTGTATATTGTATGTGGCATCTTTCTCAAATGACTGTTGTCTGCTGAAAGAAGTTAGAATAATGTCCCTCTTAGACATAAACCAATAGTATCCATAATGGCCATACACATTAAAATGAAACATATAATTGTGTAGGTCATTTGAGTGGTCAATACATTGTTCCAGGCATAACATACATGATATGGTAACAGTTCTCATGTGAAACACCAATTTTATCAATATAATTATCATTGCTGATAAAATATCAAATGAAAATGATCAAATAATGATTATATATACAACCGCAATTCCAATAAAGTTGGGACATTTTGTTAAATGCAATCGAGAATCAAGAATCTGTGATTGATTCTCTTTAACCTTTGTTTAATTGACAAAAGTACAAAGAACAGATTTCCACTGTTTTCACTGACCAACTTAATTGTATTTTGTAAATATAAACAAATTTTGATTTTGATGGCTGCAACACACTCCAAAAAAGTTGGGACAGAGGCATGTTTAACACTGTGTCACATCAACTGTCCTTTTAATTACAATGTTTAATCGTTTGAGATTTGAGGATACTAATTGTTAAAGTTTTGCATGCAGAATTTTTGTCCAGTCTTGCTTGATACAAGACTTCAGCTGCTCATCAGTCCATAGTCATTATTGTCTGATTCTCCTTTTCATGACTGGTCATACATTTTCAATAGGAGACCGATCTGCTGGGCAGTCAGTCACATCCACATCTGTCTGTGAAACCACGCTGTTGTAACACATGCAGAATGACACTTGGCATTCTTGATCTAATAACCATGGACTTCCCATGAAAGGCGTCATCATGATGGCAGTATATGTCTCTGTACAATCCCAATATATGCCTCCTTGCCAATTGTACCTTCGCACAGATGCCAGTCACCCATGCCATTTGCTCTGCTGCACTGCACCCCATACCATGAGAGAAGTTTTGCATCTTTCGCTGATGAAAGTCTGGATAGTCCTCAGCGTCCATTTTTCCAAGAAACAAGTTTAAATGTGGACTCATCTGACCACAGCACACATTTCCGCTGTCTTTTTAACTGTCTGAGATGAGCTCTGGCCCAGAGAACCCTGCGGCATCACTGCATAGAATTGATGTATAGCTTTCTCCTTGCGTAACAGAGATTCAAGTTGCATTTATTGATGCAGTGGCAGACTGTGATAAGTGAAAACGGTTTACAAAAGTACTCCTGAGCCCATGTGGCTATATTTAACACAGCAGCATGACAGTTTCTTATGCAATGCCATCTGAGGGCTCAAAGGTCATGCACATTTAATTGAGGTTTCCTGCTTTGCCCTACACAGACTGAGATTTCTCTGGATTCCCTGAATCTTTTCACAATATTATGTATGGTAGTTGGAAAGACTTAAATTCTTTGCGAGTTTGCTTTGAGAAATGTGATTTTTGCCACAAAGTGATGAGCTATGATCCAGCTTTGCCCCGCAAAGACTGAGATGCTCCTTTTATACCCAAACCTGATACCCTCACCTATTACCAATACAACTGCTAACTGAACTGTTTCAAAATAGTTTAATTTGGATATTCTATAACCTTTTCACTTTTATTTTGCCTCTGTCCCAACTTTTTTGGACTGTGTTACAGCCATCAAAATCTAAATTTGTTTATATTTGCAAAATACATTTAAGTTGGTCAGTGAAAACTTTGGAAATCTTTTCTTTGTACTTTCGTCAATTAAATAAAAGTTAAAGAGAATTAACAGATTCTTGATTTTATTGCATTTTACAAAACGTCCCAACTTTTCTGGAATTGGGTTTGTATACACAGCACACACACTACAGTTCAAATGTGTGGACACAGTAAGATTTATCTTTATTTTATTCAGCAAAGATGCATTAAATAAACCAGTAGAAAAAGTAAAGACTTTTATGTTTCAAAAGTTTTTTATTTCAAAGAATCTTGAAAAAAAAAATGTACACAGTGCACAGTTTCCTCAAAAAACACTAAGCAGAACAACTGTTTTCATCATTGATAATAAGAGTAACTATTATTTGAGCACCAAATTAGCAGATTAGAATGATTTCTGAAGGAAAATATGTATGTATGCATGTATGTATGTGTATAGAATAACAATATGGATCATATATTTAATATACCTGTTACGTACTTAGTGGAGAAGAGGAGAAAAGTATCCTCAACTGAGTTGATCACTTACATGTTCTGTTAAAAAACTAAAAAGGAAAATACATGATTGGTAGGAAACAGTAACCAGTTACATTTAAAAGTTAAAACTTATAGACATTTTAAGAATGAAATCATTCACCTATTGAGAGTGTGTTGACAGTCTGTGTAGCTGGATGGTTGAGCTGCAGAAAACCAATAATGAGTGACTTTGACATTTAAAGATTTGAAAAACAAAGGTAGGGATAAAGAACCCTAAATTCCAGGGGTGTGGACTCGAGTCACACAACTCGAGACTTGACTCGGACTCGAGTCCCAAATTTGATGACTTGCGACTCGACTCGACATAATTAAAGAAGACTTGAGACTAGACTTAGACTTTGACAGCAATGACTCGAGACTTGACTTGGACTTGAGCCCTGTGACTCGGAAAGACTTTATGATCAGATCAAAGTCGTTATAGACGAGTCCTTGCAGCGTGCTTGCGCTTGACTGGCAATAAGCCAGAGACTGCGTTTAGGGAGCTCTATATATATAGGCTAGTATAAACGAATGGAGTAATAACACAGCTTACGACAAAAGAACCGAGATAAGAAAAAAAATAAAAATACATGATTCGTCTATAGCGATCTCCGCTCATGAAAAGCGCTGCCCTGCCCGTTTGATCGCCGCCCAGCAGACACACGGAGCGGGCATGAGAAACGAGAGGCGCGGCCGCGATCACTGGTGCTCGCCTCATCATCACCGTGACCGCTGCTGTTAAATATTCCTCACTTCTTCTGTTTGTCCGACACCGAGGTGCACCATGAGTGATGGATCCGCATCCCGCCACGACCCTCGCACTCTGCCAACTCGATGTGCTTTAATTTTCATTTTTATTTGTAATAAACACCTCTGAGACCTGTTTTTGTCAGATTTCCACTGTTTTTGTTCTATCAGTTACATATTTTAATTGCATGTGCATTTTATTTGATTTAAACCCCCATTAAGTTTAAAGTTAATCCATAATCGAGATTGCTTGTCCTATTTTGGCACAATCCCTAAATTGAACTTGAGTAGTTTTACTAAGGGCACCCATCTCACATGAAATTGAACTATGTCAAATATTCTACCTGCCTTCCTGATATAAATTACTATGAATTTGATATGGTAATTAATACTGAGACACTAATTTGGGCAAAGAGCACTAATGACTTGTTTAAGACTTGAATCTTAAAGTTGAGGACTTGCAACTCGACTTGGACTTGCCTGTCTTGACTCGGGACGTGACTTGGGACTTGTCTGTCTTGACTCGGGACTTGACTCGAGACTTACTTGTGACTTGCAAAACAATGACTTGGTCCCACCTCTGCTAAATTCTAACACAAAGAACCATTTCAGCATAAAAGAGTTCTTCATGATGATAATAGAGCTGTTACTATGTGTTAAAAAAACTTTTTTTTTTCGATGGTAGAATGTCAATACTGGTCCATATGTCTTAAAGAATACATTATATATACCCTATAGAGGCTCACAGAAAGAGTTAGCAGAACAGCATATGTGTGTGTCACATATGTTTTGATATGGTATCTATGTTTTGTGTTGGCGCCTGGTTGTGTGAAATGTAAATGAGCACGTTTGAATGTGTAGGTATGCTCATGAGTGTCAGTATGTGTGTGTGCACTCACTCTGGAAATGTTTGAGTTTGTAGATACATCCTGTCAGTTCACCGTGACTTTGTGTCTGTATTTGTATGTGTGTGTGAAGTGAGAGCACCAGGCCTGTGAGGTAGACTGTGCTGTATTGATAAGACAGGAAGCTTGCAGCGGTGTGTGACTTTGGCCCTCTCTCTCTGCAGGTAAAGGACCGGAGACTCTGTTCGCAGGGCATAAGCTGAATGACAATGAGTGGCACTCTGTGAAGGTGGTGCGCCGTGGGAAGAGCCTGCAACTCTCTGTTGACAATGTGACCGTGGAGGGTGAGAGAAAGACCTCACACTCACTGTATATGTACTGTATAAGGACACACGGACAGTTATTACAGTTATAATCGAGCTTCAGTGTGCTCTTGCGCAGTCTTAATCTGTATGTCCAAGTATACTCTACCATTCAAAAGTTTGGGGTCAGTAAGATTATTATTATTTTTTAAATAAATAGTTATTATTACTCAATAGTGGCTGTAAAGATGTTTCTAATGTTACAAAAGATTTATTCTTTTTTCAAATAAAAACCATTCTTTTGAACTTTCTGTTCATCAATGAATCTTGAAAAAAGTAAGATTGTTATTGAAGAAAATTAACACTTTTCTTAATACGTTAATCAAGTAGTGAGAGTAAAGACATTTTTAATGTTACAAAAGATTCATATATCAAATACAAACTGTTCTTCTAAACTTTCTATTCATCAAAGAATCCTGAAAAAAAATTTTTTTTGAAAGACATTAATACTTTTATTCTGCAAGGGTACATTAAATTGATTAGAAGTCACAGTAAAGACCTTTATATTGTTATAAAAATAAATATTTCTGATAAAAGCTGTTCTTTGGAACTTTTTAATTCATCAAAGACATTGATAATAATAATAAGAAATGTTTCTTAAGCATCAAATTAGCATATTAGAATGATTTCTGAAAGATTGTGTAACACTGAAGACTGGAGTAATGGCTGCTGAAAGCGTTGCCATCACATCAATAAATTACATTTAAAATATATAAAAATATAATTGTTTTAATAATAATTACAATATTACCGTTTTACTGTATTTTTGATCAAATAAATCCAGCTTTGGTGAGCATAAGAGACTTCTTTCATAAACATTAAAAAATTGTACCAACCCCAAACATTTGGTAGTACACGTAAGGGCTTTTCACACTAGTTAACCCACAATAGGGTTCACAATAATTAACCCAGGGTTTCATAACCCCGGGTAAAAAGCGGTGTTTAGAATGATCATACCCCAGGGTTAAGAGCAGTGTGAAAAGTCCAATAATGCAATGCACGTTTCAGCATTTCAGACATTTTGTTGACATTTTGTCGATTGCAGGGTGGCCCCGCCCACTGTGAAACTAGGAAATCTAATTGGTCTAAAATAGATTTGTGAATGAATCTTTTCAGACTGCTTTTGTGAAATGAATCATCCAATCCATTCACAAAATTTGACTCAAAAGAATAGTTTGCTCAGAAATCGCTATTTCTATAATGACCCAAGATTTTCAGTGAATAACGACTTAAATTTTATTACAATTCTCACAGAATGTTATCATATGGATTTTCACGTTCAGTGTACATAGACTTGCTTGACACTTAAAACTTGCCACATCATGCCTAGTTATTCATTTATCGTTGTGTCGACAACTGAAAGATTATATGTAGTACAGTTGTACAGGTTTAGATTCATCTTGCACACTGCAAGTTCAGCATTACCGTACATCCAACTCTGAATTGAACATCAAAAGCTGTACTTGCCTTGGGATGGGCTCAGGCAGCATGCCATTCCCTCATATCATCAGTTCCCAGACCTGACTAATCGAGCGTGTTTGGTTCCGCCACAGGCCAGATGAGCGGAGCACACACGCAGTTGGAGTTCCATCACATAGAGACGGGCATCATGACCGAGCGGCGCTTCATCGCAGTCATGCCTTCCAACTTCATCGGCCACCTGCAGGGCCTCTCTTTCAATGGCATGCCGTACCTAGACCAGTGCAAGAATGGTGACATCTCCTACTGTGAGCTCAATGCCCGCTTCGGCATGCGCCGCATCGTGGCAGATCCCGTCAGCTTCCGGAATCGAGCCAGCTATGTGTCGCTGTCCACCCTGCAGGCTTACGCCTCCATGCACCTCTTCTTCCAGTTCAAGACCACCAGTCCCGACGGTCTGATGCTGTTTAACTCTGGAGACGGCAGTGACTTTATCGTGATCGAGCTTGTGAAGGGGTGAGTGAGTGAAGAAAAAAAATAATTACGTTCCAACACCAAAGTTTGAATGACTTGCCATAGAGCCCCATGAAATTAAAATTAAAATTTGAATGTTGTTGCTTTTAGTTCATTTACAAAAAAAATCCCTTTTAGCAGATATATACATTTCACAATTGGAAGCAGATATATAATAATAAACAATTTTTTTCAGATTTCATTTTGATTTTAGTATGTTTTAATATTTTTGTTAGCTATATATTTTTTTACTTTTCAGTTTTGTTTAAGTAATATTAGTACTTCATCTTAAACTTTTTTTTTTTTTAATTTCAGTTAGTTGCAAAGGCAACATTTTTTTTTAACGTTTTTTAAGCTTACATTTTTATCTAACATTTATATTTTATTTTATTTCAGCTTTCAGTTAACAAAATGGTTTTTAATAATTTGTTTAACAATTATAACACTTTACAGTACAGTAGATTTACAGTATTTCTCTTCTGTGAAAACGTACAAAAAATATTCAAAAAAATACTCATATTCAAATAGTCATCTTGCAATACACAGATTTTTGTCCAATCAAATGCTCTTGAGTGAAAAAGCCCATCTTCCTTTAATAAAAAATAAATGTTCTGCCCAAATGTCCGGTAAGAAATGTGCTTAGAAAAGAAAACTGTGATCAGTTGATTTCATGTGGTCTTTAAATGGCTGAACTGTATGATTCAGCGTTTGACTCCGCCCTCTGCTGCTTCAAACCAATCAGAGTAAAAGCTCATTGAATAAAATTTGTTCATTATTAAATGACTTTTTGGAGTGCGTCACTATTGGCCATACTCATTGCTAAAAAAAAAAAACAGCATTAAGCTTTCAAATCCTATTAATAAAAGCCCTTTAATTAAAGTGTGAAGTTGAGATGGGAACTATAAAGAAGAGATGAGAATAGAAGATTTCTTAACATGACTGCACAAATAAGGAACTAGAAATTTCAGAAATAGGCAGGGTATTATGAAATGATAATAACATAGAGAACTACCTGATTGAGAAAAGAGAGAGAGATGAAATTAGAGTGCAATATAAAGTTAAGCCTTAGCTATAGGTGATGGAAAGCCTGAGGCCTGAGAGACAGAGAAAAAGACACCTTAGCAGAAAGCAAAGTTTCCTGAACTATTCTATGGCGCTACAGCAAAGGAAATGATATTATTCTCTAAATTTTTCGCTTTCCATCTAATTTGAATGTGATGAAAAAAAACTGTGTATTGTGAAATAATGCTAAGACAATACTTTCTCATATTGTGTAATCTTTGTTGGCTGCACTCAGAAACATACAGCATAACTAGTGTAGTCCGTTTCATAAACAAATTTGGTTCGTTTAATGAATTTCACAAGAAATTTACAGACTTTGTTGCAAAGTCTAGCGACCTGCCTTTTAAGGTGCCTTTAAAGGTAGGCATCTTATTTATGCTGCCTACTAAGACTCAATGTTTTGGCCAAAGGCAAACACAAAAGTATTTAACCCTTAAATGCATGAATGTTTCGCCAATCATTATTACATATTTGGGTCTTTAGCGACCCGGACCTATATATCCAGCACGGATGGATCTCTAACTGCTGCAATAGCAAAAAACTCTCTTGATATTTTAAGAACAATTAAAGAAGAATAAAAGCTTATTTCGTTACCTTTTGAAACTTAAAAGGGTTCAATTTGAGCAGATGATTTTACCATCGCTGTCATCGTCAGAGCGCACTTCCACAGTACATTCAGCATCTGCCTCATATTCACGATCTCAGCCATATTCTCAAAACAATTGTTTTCAATGACTTCATATTCAATATTTTGATCACTGGCAGCTTATTCACCACATCCAGTATTAAATGACAGCGACATTTATATTTCATTGTGTATAGTAATTGCTCTGCAGTAAAGCCATTCAAACCACTTCAATTTTTGCTGATAATATTGGTTTGTTTTATGTCTGCGTTAATTATAGGTGAAACGTCACGTCATCATTGTGTATCAAACAGTGCTACCTTGAGGGAAAAATATGCATTGCACATATTGAGTCATCAGATATTTAAATATAGTTGCGCTGGAAAAAATACTTACATATTTACATACCTCGGGTCTCTAGCAACCCTATACACTTTTTACAAAAAATTAATCAGAAAACTGGCATTCTTTTATATTTTACTATTTTTTTCTTGTAATATTGTTTATAATTAATAGATTGAGGAATACTAAGAAAGTGGATGTCTAACTTAAAAAAATGAAGGAGGGAGAGGGTAGAGAATGATGTACCGGGTCGCTAAAACCCGAGGTATGCATATAAGGGTTACGTTTAAAGTTAATCCATTATTGAGATTTAAATCTGAGTTTAAAGTTATGTGCAACAGGATTAAAGTTAATCTTAAATATAACTTAAATCCGATCAAAATGATGGGTTAAAAATGTAAACCTGCTTATTTTATGCATTGCACATATTGAGTCATCAGATATGTAAATGTAGTTGCGCAGGAAAAAATACTTAGCCTACACATTTACATACCTCGGGTCTCTAGCAACCCTATACACTTTTTACAAAAAATTAATCAGAAAACTGGCATTCTTTTATATTTTACTATTATTTTCTTGTTATATTGTTTATAACTAATAGATTGAGGAATACTAAAAAAGTTGATGTCTAACTTAAAAAAATTAAGGAGGGAGAGGGTAGAGAATGATGTCCCGGGTCGCTAAAGACCCGAGGTATGCATTTAAGGGTTAAACCAGTATTTGTGTGTGCTGCTTAGTTTTGTGTATTGTGTTGTTAGTCAAGCTCTGCTGAAATTAAGGTGAGTTTGGAGCATGGAGTGTTCTAAATCAGTCACTTCAAAGGTTTCATTTCAGTTAGCATGCTTTCTTAGAAGTCAGCTGTCTATGTAGGCAGTATACAGCGAAACAACTCAAGTGGTTTTGGAACAGAGCTAGAATCAATTTGATGAATCCTTTACTGAATGAACTCACTGAATCTGACTCATTTTACTGAAACGTGATGTTCATATGCAGTTTTTTTTTTTTAATTAATATTTGAATTTTATTAAAAATAGTAAAAGTTAGCCCAATAATTAAATCTTTAAAACATTGCAGTATGCTACCAAATTCGCATTGTAATTTTTAGATCAGTTATTTGTTTGAATCGGGGTGGGTGGGATTCTGTAGGAACCACTGAGAGGAAGAAAAAGCCCTTGAGACTAAAAACTAGTCTTTTCTTATACTCTCCCACCCATGTGAAATTATAAATCCAGATATTGAGACATTCCAGTCTGACAGCTCAAAGTTCATCTTCAGTACATTACACAGATTGTTGGTGATCTCATCCTTCAGCACACAAACATCAGTCCCGGGAGAGTTAGAGCTCAAAGGCCTTTTCTGACAAAACTAACGCACAGTTGTTTCTGTAGGAGAGAGAGATGCTGATATCATTGCAGAAACTCCCAGAAGATACAGCAGATATACGAGGGATCACATGTAAGCAGCTAGCTACACACTTAAGAATATGAGAGACATCCAGATGAAGTTAAGCCACCACGCTAAACAACGGGTTTAAGTTTGCGATTAGTTAAGAGACATTACTTGGATGTGAATCATAGCCGTGGGAGGGTGAGTCAAGTCGCATTATAAGATTTGCACATTTGTCTCCTTGGCATTTAGTTAAAGGTACAAGGAGGAGGAGAATCGCTTGATGAATCATCACAGGATAGGGGCCATATTTAAATTTAAACAAATTCTGCATCAGTTGCTTTTGGTTATGCGTAAATGCTGATCGGTATCTGCTAGGAAGGAGCTCACCATGAGTTATTCATTGGCGTTCAGGCTTATGCCCGATGACTCTGAGGCGACTGTGTCTGCTCGTCAATCAAGAGCAATTTCAGAGGAATGATTGCATGGATTGCTATTCTAAGCCTCAGATACTGTAATCGGCTCACAAGAAAAGTGCAAATCCATTTCGAAAAGATAAAGTAAGCACTGGTGACATTGATGAAAAAAGAGCAGCTTTTAATCACATGTAATGTAAGTGTTATTTGATTAACGGTATTCTATTTATTGGCAGCCCACTCTGTTCCCAAGCCACATGCCAAAGCCGCCACGTGGGAGATCCGCAGTCTTGGATCAGATTTTTTTTTTTTTTTCCCACCAGCCTAGTAAAAGATTTTTCAGTTCAATCACACTGCTTATGCCAATCATAGCAGGTACAACAACCTGATTTGCTGTTTGAATTTTATTCCATTGGGCAAAAACGAATAGTGAAAAAGGGGAAAGTGCCTCAGATGTTTAACTTCCTCAGACGCAGTGGTCCAGAAAGTCAGTCATTCAGTAAGCAATTAGACAGCAGGTGGCCTTGCCTCTCACCGGAGTCTGCACAAGCATTTGAAATGAGAGAGCGCTAATGAGCACACTTTCTTTCTCTCTCTCTTTCTTTCTCTGCAGTATCTTGATGTATGAACTGTGAGCAACTACCAGCATTTGCAAATTCTAATGTTTATACAGTAGTTTGAATAAATATGAGCAGAGCACTGTATATCTCCATGGCCTCGTCGGTATCGAACACTCCTTTTTTTTGTTGTTTGAATAGAGTGCAAGAGTGTCTTAGTTCTGGCAGTATTTTTGCACATTTAGGCATTTCAGACCATTTTTCACTAAAGAGTTACAATGTAAGCCACACAAACAGCTCGGAGATGAATCACAGAATTATAACATAGCAAAAAAGTATTTGAAAAGCGGAAAAAAAGGTATAAGACATGTATTCAATGTCTTATGAGGGAACTACTGCTGTAGTTACTTTTGAGCTCTAATGCTGAAAATCCCCATTCTATCAGGAAAGATGATTTCCCATAAGGCATATTTCACTGCTAAACAACCCGAAGCTGACGTTAAGTCTTTCTTGAAAGATTTGGAAATTATCCAACCTAGGCTCATTGGAAAAACTTGCCTATGGTAACATTTCTGCTAAATGGTATTGCGGTACTACTTGTACGTTGCACGACACTTTCAAAGTGAAATGTCCAATGGCACTTAGTTTTAAACAGATGAATGTGAATCTGGCAAATTTTTATTATATTGGTGTTTGTACGCATCAGGGCAGTTTCTAATAGGTAATCTTACCACATATACTAAACCTTACTGTAAACAAAACATAATGTTAACAAAAGCAAAAGTGAGATACAAATACATTGCTGAAGCAACCGTGCTATTTTAGCTTGCTTCAATTCTTTGAGTTTTTTTATGGCCCTGTCCCAAATGGAACACTTCATGTGCACTTTCGTCTTGCGAACAAATAATGGCCACCGCGTGCGCGTGTCCGTTAAGTCCACGAGACCATATATATATATATATCAAATACTAGCTGATAACTGATATGATAGTGATATCTTGTGCATGACTAATATTGGCATATTAGTTATCAACCAAAGCACATTTGTCACTGACAAATGTGCAGATAAAATCTTCAAATTAAACAGATTATATGTGAAATGAAGTATACGCAAACAATTTCAAAGCAACAAAAATTCCTATATAATATATGGAGCTACAGTGCATTGAAGTTTAAGGGACATTTTCCTGAAGACTGTAAGCTGTTTACTGCGGCTGCACACAGAGTGTCTGACAGGATGGAAATCTGTCTGTGCCAGTATTTCAAGCCTTGTTATATTGATTTGGAAGCAAAAAGGCAGTATTGTCATCCTAAAGAGAGTTGCCTGATTCCACTGGGCTGTGTGATTGACAGTGGAACTGATGTAAGGGTGTCCCATTCGTCATTTTAGCATTCAAAAGGGTGCTCGCGAGTGCCCCCTTTGCGCCCTCGATGCGCACTTCTGCCGAGCCCTCACTGGGGCAAGCTCCGCAGCAGACTTCTACCCGACAGTCAAAGCGGCATTATGTCACGAAAGTGCGGACTCAGATGAAGACTGCGAGGGTTTAGGATGCGATTTGGAACAGGGCCTATCATGACTTGTGTCCTAAAGAGGGTTGCCTGATTCCACTGGGCTGTGTGATTGACAGTGGAACTGATGTATTGCAGGTACATCCATTATGTTTTTGACTTGGGCAATGGGCGGTCCCACATGAAGGGCAACTCCGACAAGCCGCTCAATGACAACCAGTGGCACAACGTGATGGTGTCCCGCGATGACAGCAACGTGCACATGCTCAAGATCGACTCCCGCACGGTCACGCAGCACTCCAATGGAGCCCGCAACCTGGACCTCAAAGGTATTTCCTCTCATCCACACTTTTCAGATTGCTTTACCATAAGAACTAATCCATAATAACGATTCCTTCAGTGAAAAAGTCCATCCCGTGTTGTGCTCTCACATCAAAATCTATTGACATATTTGTTTAGAATTGTTTTGAACTGCTTTTGCTTGTAAACAGTGCTTGATCTGTACATATTTCTCTCCTGTTAGCATTCAAAAGGGTGCTCGCGAGTGCCCCCTTTGCGCCCTCGATGCGCACTTCTGCCGAGCCCTCACTGGGGCAAGCTCCGCAGCAGACTTCTACCCGACAGTCAAAGCGGCATTATGTCACGAAAGTGCGGACTCAGATGAAGACTGCGAGGGTTTAGGATGCGATTTGGAACAGGGCCTATCATGACTTGTGTTTCACGGGACACGGTACCTAGCACTGCGCACCACATATACAAAGTTGTACCAGGTGAGCTACCAAGGAATTTTACTACGTTAAAAAAGCTATACATATGGAACTGGTTATGTGATGCACACGTCAAAATGTATTAGTTTACAAATGCACTATGGTGAAATTTTTCTACAGATCACAACGTGATGGTGTCCCGCGATGACAGCAACGTGCACATGCTCAAGATCGACTCCCGCACGGTCACGCAGCACTCCAATGGAGCCCGCAACCTGGACCTCAAAGGTATTTCCTCTCATCCACACTTTTCAGATTGCTTTACCATAAGAACTAATCCATAATAACGATTCCTTCAGTGAAAAAGTCCATCCCGTGTTGTGCTCTCACATCAAAATCTATTGACATATTTGTTTAGAATTGTTTTGAACTGCTTTTGCTTGTAAACAGTGCTTGATCTGTACATATTTCTCTCCTGATTCAGACGAGACAACGTCTCGAGACAACGTTGTGGATAGAGGACTATGTTTGCAATTAAAAATGTCTTAATGGATTTGTTTACTACAAAACACAACGCTTTTCGCTTTTTTTGTCCATACAATGCAAGTCAATGGTAATCAAAAGGATTTGGTTATCAGTATTCTTCATAATATATTTCACAGAAGAAGGAAAGTCATACAGGTTTGAAACGGCATTGAATGAATGATAATTTTCTATCACTTTTAACAGCCATTAAGAGTCACACTTCTGATTTTCATTTTAACAGATCTTTCTTCCATCATTACACACACTATGGTTGTTTAGGCTCAAGTTTTACGACTGTTATCAACTGTTATCTCATTCTTAGGTACGATTAGATACATATTTGCTGTTTTACACTCATCTTGAGTTTGATTTCAAACTCTTGCGTTCAACTTTGAGTATCTTTCCTGATGGGTATTTACACAGCTTCCAGCTCCTTGTTTAAATCATGTTGCTTCTGAAATCTACCTTCCAGTACTTCTCACCATTGCTATCGTTTTTCACTGTTTCGGCTGTAATTAGAAGAACAAAGAGCAGCGCCTACAGGGGAAAGAGAAAAAACAACAACAACATGCCACTGCATCATTTTTAATGCTTCCAAACCTTCTTTTGCTATCTTAAGCAGGTGTTGCTTGATGCTGGGCACAAAAACAAAAGTTTACTTCACATGAAATGTAGAAACATGAATCTTATGTATATTTAGTTCTTTTCTTGTGTGTTAAAATGAAATATTTTGATTGAAAAGACATCAGCAGCTATTGCCATAGCAATTTCTTAGACTTTTCTCCATTCTGAGTTTTCACTGGCATCTTTGTAGAAATCTTGGCAGGCAGTCCTTAGTTTTGTGTTTTAGTCGACACTAGAAGAAAACTGAGACAAGTTCACAAAAAGAAAACAGAAACCACTTTGTTTGTCAAGACCACATAATCTAACCACTGAAGTCAATGTAAGGAGAGTTTGTCAAGGTGTTTTTTACAGTGTCCGCTGCCTTTCTGAAAATGCTGATCGTCTAGTAATGTGGTAGATTGTAACAATTCCTGAAGTAAAATAAATAAATAAATAAATTAGACGTTTCGCTGTTCGATTTATTACTGTGTTGTGTCAGCAGAAGGAAAAGAATAGTTTGCAAGACCCTCAAAACTCTGTCTAGGTCAACAAGTCTTAAAAATATCAGACAATTTGTCCTTTTTAACTTTTAATGATGTGCTCTGTTGAGGTTGTAAAATGGCATGTGTTACAACTGCACAAAAATATTATTTATGAATTAAGTCAAATATTACTCAATAATAATAATAATAATGAATTAACATGTAGTAATTAGTGCCATTTGTTAAAAAAAATAATTCGTATAATAAGTAAGGAATAATTGACGACGGTCCATTGAATTATTAGAAAATAATGCACATCCGAGGTGGTGATGCGGCCATGACGCGAAGAGGAGTTATTTTCTAATAATTCAATGGCCCGGAGTCAATTATTCCACTTATACTACAGTTGCCACACCTCTAATATTGTTCAGATGATGTATTTCAAAACATTCGTCAGGCTTTTGTCCTTGTGTAGGATTAATTTCTTACACATCTCATCCCACACCTCCATTGCTAATTCCAAAACGTCATTTTAGACCTGTAACAGAGGCTTGAGCTGTTAATAGCAGACTAATGCAGTTATGACCAATGAAGTTATGAGAGAGAGAGAGAGATTAAGTGTGTGTGAGTTACTGGAGTCTGTGCGAGTTCGGCAGCAGCGTCTCTACTTATAGTGAAACTGTAAGTTCATCTGCTTCAAGAACGCCATTATTACCTTGTTGCTGAGAAATGACAAGAAGCTTTTAAGTTGCTAAACTATTTTGAAAATCATCAGAGCAGTGCTGACAACACATTTCTGTGCGGGTGTGTGAGTGTGTATATATATAAACACTCACAGGCCACTTTATTAGGTATACCTTGCTAGCAGTGGGTTGGGACCCCCTTTTGCTTTCGAAACTGCATTCAGAGATGCTCATCTGCAACTCGGTTGAAATGAGTGATTATTTGAGTTACTGTTGCCTATCAGCTTGGTCCAGTCTGGCCATTCTCCTCTGAATTCTGGCATCAACAAGGCATTTTCACCCACAGAAGTGCCACTCACTGGATATTTTCTCTTTTTCAGACCATTCTCCGTAATCTCCAGAGATAGTTGTGAGTGAAAATCCCAGTTGATCAGCAGTTTCTGAAATACTCAGTCCAGTCCGTCTGGCACCAACAGCCATGCCATGTTCAAAGTCACTTAAATCACATTTCTTTCCCATTCTGAAGCTCGGTTTGAACTTCAGCATATTGCCTAAATGCATTGAGTTGCTGGCATGTGATTGGCTGATTCAATATTTGTGTTAACGAGCAGTTGAACAGTTGTACATAATAAAGTAGCCGGTGACTGTGTATTGTATTATATTATATTATATTATATTATATTTAAAAAAATTATATATAAAAAATTTACATTTCAACACTATACACTACAGAATATCACTTTTTGGCTAAGTGCTCATGGTTCACTAACCATGATGCTCAGATAAAGACTGTGAAAAGGAAAAGTTTTAAAGCTTACAAAGTCTCCAGCACAAAAATCCAATTGTACATCAACATTTTGCTTTAAGTACAAGAGTAATAAATGCCAAATCAAATAAGGCCATAAAGTGCAAACTCCTTCTGTCAGGCTTCAAGGTCTTTTTTTATGTGGCCGCCCCAGAACAAGTCCTTTAAACATCAAAAGAGGAACTTCGCAGTACGTGTCAGTTGTAATTGTTCAAGCAATTATGCCGGAGAGAATGGAGAGTGGCGTAACAATCCCCAGGGTCCAGTGCTTTTCTGTGAAGTGTAAAATGAACATCCTCAGACAGGAAGGTGCTGAGATGTGGTGTTGTTTTCTGTGAAGGAGCCAGTGGAAAGTGACGCTTGACCTGTTATGTGTGTTGAAATGAGCATATGTGGAGAGCGCTCGTGACAAGCCACTTTCCATGCTGTCCGATAATTGAGTTTCTTTTTTTTTCTTTCTTTCTCAAGGAACTGCTATCCTGCCCCTGTAAATGTTTTCTGAAAATTTGTTTTATTGACTTGAATGAAATTGCTTTCCTGTTCCCCCTGGCGTAAGGAAAATCCAGGGTTTGCTATAAAATGTGAATGTCAATGAGTTTATTAATGAGCTGTTGGTGGCCAATTCAGTCGAGGCAAAGTTCTCCTAAACACACACACTTTTTTATGTCATGGTGAGAACCTAGCATTGGTAGTAAACGCTGAACAAATGATGCCTTAAATTATGCGGTTTGTTAAGGAGAGGTGTGCTATTACTTTTTTAAGCAATTAGATACACCGTTTTCGCCTGGAGGATGATAAAACTTGCATTTGAAGGAGAGATCCAAGCCATATCTAAAGACCAGGATATCATAGAGACTGTTCAGTTGGGTAAGCAAGCAACCACAAAGCAGCTTATAGCATTAAACAAAACACTGTAGCAACTACTGTTCTGGCAAACGGTAAAGCATCATCATCTCGCATCATTTCTCACATTTTCTTTAGAAAATGTCAACATTTAGTTGAGTTCCTTCTCTGTATTAGCTTATAAGTTAGCAAATTTCTATAGTCTACCCCAACCAAAACTTTTAAAATAATATTTCATTTAATTATATGTATTTTATTCAATTTTTAATTAATTAATTAATTTCTTTCTTTCTTGATTTATTTTATTTATATTGTTTTATTTATATTTATTTATTTTTAATTTAGGTTTTTCTATTTTTGTGCAGACATTTGGTCCCCAAAAATATAGCCCAAGTTGTTACAAATACACTATTATTAGTAACTACAAACCAAGTTTAACTTATTGAATAAATGTGTAACCCGTTGTTGCCTATTCCGCAATAGTTTTATTTATTTATTAGGTTTTTAAAAATTTTTTGGAGGCATTTGGTCCTTAAAACTATAGCTAAAGCTGACACAAATGCACACACATTACTATTAGTAGTTATTAGAGAAGTCAAGGGTTAATAAATACAATATTAATCAAGTTTATTTTAACAGTATGGTGTTGAGGGTGGTTGCCACAGCATTTAATTAAGTTGC